TTTTTTTTACTCCTGAAGAAAAATATTTTTTAGTGAAATTTGGAACAAGTTAGAGTAACATACATGGCGGACAAATGCAATTATATTAAAGGTAATTTATTCGTAAATTATTCGTGTCGGTATTCTTCGTGGTATTGTTTAATCATGTTTAATAGATTACGATCCAAGAATTTGTAAATTAACTAAATGCCGTTTGAACTTTTCTGTCGGAAAGATGTTTCCAACAATCTTAAAAAGTAAAGACTTCACAATTGCTTCTTTCAATTTCAGATATTGATAAAATAGAAAAAATTTTATTGATAAACTGCGAATAATGATATATTAAAGACTGCTTTAGCTCTGGATTCAAATAACGAAAGCAAAAGTGAAACGGAAGAATTATTGAATGTAATAATTATTTGTATGCAAGTTTCTCAATTAAGAGGACAAACAAAAAAAAGTAATCCAAATAGAAAATTACGTAAATAATGTAGTACTTAGATTCATGATATGTCAATTCAAAGAACATTTTCATATGGCATCAAACACTTTTTATTTATTAGAAAATAACTTAGTCCGATGCTGATAAAATTTAATAATTCAGGAAGACCTCGTATAGAACCGAAAGTGCAGTTACTTGCTGTTGTGGTTGCTAGCAACTTTTGATTCTTATAGATAAATACCATTTTTTATAAAAAATACCATTTATAAAAACTGTGAATCGTATGAATATTATAACAGAAAAGTTCAAACGAAACGGATCTTGATAATATTCTTGGTGCTATTGGCGGTTCATATTGAAATTTCAGCACTATCTGTAATATTGATAGATTTGCTTTTTTTTAAATATGTTATTATTTAAATTTGATTAACAGAAATTTATGTTTATTTTTCAGATGTTGCCTGACAAGAAAGTGTGTATGCTATTATATCACAGCTTCAAGCTATGTGATACAGATATGTTTTGTTATGCCGGATATCCTGGTTTTGTGGGGGATCTTAGAGTTTTTCATAAACTGATACCTTAGACAAATTCGTTTGCTATCATAATTCTATTGGAGAGATATGACGGACTTTCCCACCACATGCTGTGATTTTGAAGGGCATTAGAAAATGCATTATACCTCTTGATAATAAGTTCGCAGAATTGTCTTCGCTCCTAACATGCGACCACACCTCAGCTGGAAGAACGTTGGTAATTTCTAAAACTCTCTCGATGGACGGTAAATGGCTTCTACCGTGGTACATCATTCTTTATCTAATGTAAGGCCAGAGAAATTTATGAATGCAAGAATCTTGTAGAATTCGAAGTTGCAAGCTTATTCTATTAAATAAGCTTATTCTATTAACAAGCTTATTCTATTAAATAAGATAGAAGTAGCGCGCTATATAGTTCTAAGTGTGGTATTAAGATAGTTTTAATCGGCGCAACACATGATTTCATAATAATCACGCTGTTTTCTTTTGTCGTATGCTTTGACATAAATGCAGGCTCCGTAAACATTTTGAGAAGCGGCATAAAATCCATATAAAATCAAACTGGCCGAAAGAAGATTGAGAAATGTTGCGAGATATGCGGAGAATAGTGGAATTGGATTAACTCCCACGTAAGCTTTTCCCATCTGCTTATGATGTTAATAGTTTGCTCCAAATCTCAATCGATCTCTTCCTTTCAGGACGCTTGCATTAAAAGTTTGACGAAGATTATGACAAGATCTAAAAGACCTAACGGATTAAATGATTACTGATACGAGAAAGGAACGATAATTTTCGTAACAAATTCGTCGATAAAGTGTCTAACTCTAATTCTAAGAACTCGATGTTATTTGTTCGTGTAAACTACGTGTCTGGGAACCATTATTTTGTACGTACAGATTGCAAAGCATTTATTTCAAGTAAATGTTGTCACGACTTGACAGCTGAGACGCCATGTTTCACTAAGAAATGGTAAAAAATATATCAATTTTGAAATTTTTGATCGTTCTAGACGTAGACTCCACTTTCCAGACACGTATTAATGTATATACTTTAATCCTGGAAAAGGATTTTCGAATGGCTGAAACAGAAAAAAAGTATTTGTTATATAAAAATTACATGATTTAATCAGTAAAACAGACGGCTTTAGAAACCTTTTAAGGGTTGGTTCAAGGCATAGGCTTGCTGTAGCTGCATTCTGTTACTCGTTATGACAACAATGATATCGTTACTGTCATAACGAGTTACAACTATAGGATATATGTTAAACTTACTATAATATTTGTAACTAAAATTTGATATAAGATTAATCATAAATTCTTTAAATACTTTACATTTAATAATAATAGTTTATCTAAAAATAAATATTATTTTAGATTTGTTATCTATATTTCATTTCTATAATTACTGAATATTTCAATAACATTACTGATTGTACAGCTTCCGAGCGTATAAATTCTAACGAAAAACGATTCATTATGAAAATTTTCCTTCGAGATCCAACTCGGCGTGCTCAATAGGCGACATAGATTGGTCAATAAAGAGTGGACTCCTACTAATAGATCATTTCTATGTGAAGTATATTCAAGATTATTTATACAATTAAAATTTTTTTATTTATTTATATAATTATAACAATTTTTTCACAGACTGACACATATATGGTCTCCACTCCAAATCAACGATCTTCGTCACTGACCCCTTACGATCTTTTTACTGATGTTTTTATGTTTCCCATCTTAAAATACTCAGTTATTTTTTTAGATTTTTATCTCCATTAGTTTCCTAGATTTAAATTTTTAAAAATTTATTTCGAAAACGTTTGATTAAACATAATCTCTGTTTAAATTATTGAAAAACAAAAAATAATGTCGTCTTGTCACATTGAATTGTTCGTCTCGAAATTCTCTATTAGGAAAAAAATATGAAAAAATATTCAAGTTTTTGTTTCTACTCGAAAAATCCGATTGAAGTAAACAAATTCGATTTTTGTCAAGATTGACATTTTTAATTTTTATAAAAAATTTTTTCAATATTAGTAAAAATATAAAGAATTTACGCCATAAATAAATCAAATATTCAACTTTACAAAAAACCAGCAAAAATTATTTATTTTCTTCTCATAGAGCTCTAAAAATTTTTTTAGAATTTTTTTAGAATTTTTTAATGCCGTATTTTCTCATGTTGGTAAAAATGAAAAAATGTAGTACTAAAAAGTTGATAAAAAATTTTGAAAAAATTCGTAGAATTCTATGAGAAGAAAATAAATAATTTTTGTCTCTTGCAGTTTTTCTTAAAGTTGATAGTGTTTGAATAAAAAATTATTAAAGACAGTTTTTAGTAATTTTTAGCAATTAATATCTCAACATGAGACTTTTATCTATTTATATAATGCGTGCGTATGTGTTTACATGGTATAATATACATATAATTTTCTATATTGGATATATGAGTCGACATGTTAGTAATGTATATATTATACTATAAGTATCTATCTTTTTTTATTAGACAGAGCAAAGAGAGTTACGTCATGTATGTGTAATGTTGTATTCATTTTTGATAATATATTATCCTAATCTAAAATGGCATTGGACGTAAAAAAAAGTGCTACTACGGCTTCGTCGATATAACTATTAAAAGTTAAAAATCTGTACTTTATATATATTACAGATGTTTAGTACTGGTGGTATATATTGAAACGCGGCCTACATTGCATGTGTATATAATACAACTGTATTTCTAAAGTCCACAAATATAAAATTAACTTCAATCCCGGTTTATTTTTTTCTCAATTCTAAAATTGGAAAATTTTCCAAAATTAAATAATTCTTACATTTGTGGGATCGAACTTAATATGTTTTTGTCTCTGAGCTCAGATGGTTATGTAAGAAACAGAATAAAAATGTCGATAATTAATCGATTGAATTTCCTGCATGATCATATTAACTCAGAGGGCGTAAGCATCTTATATATTGGAAATAAAATTATGTAATATCGACCTTGATTAAGTTCTGCCGTCGTTCCAGCATCTTCTTAACTATTGCGAAAATTGGAAAATGGTAGAAGAGTTTTCTTCTCAATTTAGTTCATTCTGCCCTTATGCGAAAGATTTATCATTATTTTCCAAATACCCTGTATATATAAAGACGAGTTCATCTCAGGAGCTGCGCACAATGAAAGGAATAGGAAACAGAAATAGAAAATAGAGAACAGGACTTTAAATACTAAATTAATATTCATACAGTAATATAAATATTAATTTAGCATTTAAGATTCTACTTTGATCGAAAAACGGCATGATCTTTTTATTTAATACTGTTCTGTTGTATTAATACTATTTTATTTTACTTATATTTTAATTTTATTATAATTATATCAGTAATGTTGCATTACTAGTCTTTTGTATATATTTATTTTTGCAAACTTTTGTATATTACAGGTCGAGAATAATTTTAATTTTATTTTATCACAAACTAGACAAATAATAGAACGCGCTTTTACTAAATATGTTATTATTTAAATTTGATTAATAGAAATTTATGTTTATTTTTCAGATAGATGACCTGACCTGACAAAAATTTGGTTTATTTAACTAATAAAATGTAGAAACAAAATTTAAAAAAAAAACAACAGATATATTGATAAAATTTTATTATTCACAGATAAATATGTGACACCTGTTTGATCACATTGTAATTAATAAATGCCTTTGTGGCGCTGCTTGCAATGGCGTGGCGCTGTTAAGACCCACTAGGGTCGCATGAGTGTATGGCTGCGTAGCCTGCAGCAATACTGTGCTATAGGCCTACTTTTTTTGGCTGAACTTTTACACAAGTACATCTTTCTTTTTTTTCTTTACTTCTGAAGAAAAATATTTTTTAGTGAAATAATTTATACAAATAATTAAGACACAAATAATATATTTACAAATATTGGAATTGTTTATACAAAAATTATCTTAGTGCTTTATTTTAATAATTGTAAATGTCGAATTATAAATAACTTATTTTAAGTACTCCTTTAAATAAGATATATCTAAAAACTGGAATTAATTTTGATAAACTATTGAGTGTGGCACAGGCATTTTAAATAATAGCAATGTATTGCAATATGAATAAGTCAAACGGACGGTATGATGGATTTTTTAAATGTCAGATACGCACTGATGTGCAGAAATTGTGCAAGAAGTACACTGAAAATAGAAGAAGAGCACACACAAAATTACTGAAAGGTAAATTATAAGTAGTTACTCAAGCGAAAAAGTACATAATCTGAAAAAAATAAGAGATTAAGATATAAGGTAGAGTTCAATTACTCACTTTTATGGGATAAATAAAAATGTTAGGAATATATTTGAATTGTATTTATAGATACGCTAAAAGAAAAATTAATCAGATAATAATAAGTAACGGGCAAAGAAAAATTAATAACATCTATGCAGAAATGTTTAAAAAGACAAGATGAAGTAATTTTGATATCATTATCATGAATATACAGGTAAATTTAATTTAGGCACGAAAATCTATAAATCATTAGCTCTGCGAACTCGGTCTTTGAATCCGGAGTGGATCGAACAGCTCGATTGGCTCTAGAAATGTCAGAATAATAGATTCTTTTGATTTTAGGGGTTGATTGTGTTTAGAATAGTCGATTCGTTCATACATTGATACGTGCATGCTGTATATACATAATTTTTATATCCATTGTGGTTTACTTCACAGCTTATTTTCTGGCATGTACCTATCAAAAGAATTGCTAATTTCACAGGTATTTATGAAACGTCGGATTATAAGATGTAAGTAATGTTTTAAGGTACTAATGCAGCCCTATCATTGACTTCTTAAGAACCGTAGTTAGGCGGTCTTAAATATACAAATACAATATAAAAATACAAACATATACATAAAGAAAATCATCCAATCATATTTTACGTTTGTCTTTATGACAGAAATATGATTGGATAATTTTCTTTATGCATATAGTTATGCGGCTATGCAAGTTTGTGTGGAATGACCCTAAATATTAACCTAAATTTCAAATCTACTGCTTTTTTGGCGTACCATCTACCCTTCAATTTTTCAACTATTTGGCAGCATTGGTCATACTTGACGTGACAATCGCAATTTATACATTTTTGTTATAAATTTTCGTGACACGTGTTATTATTAAATTAAGTGAATTATCGCATAAACAAATTTTTCAAAGCTTGTGAATATATTGAGTACTTTGTTCCAGAATCTAGAACTACAGTTCAAAGAGAGTGACTCGGATTTTGGACGGATTATTATACTGCTAATTGTTATATTGCTGAGGATGACTACAAAGCAAGTCGAAACAAGATTTTGAAATAAAGAAGACATCAAATCATGTTATAAAAAAGTAATTTTTATTTATTGATTACTGTGCGCAACTCCTTCCTCGCTGACTCCCAACCTAGACACTTATTAATTATTATTATTTTAAATATTAAAAATTTTTATTTGTTACATAATTTGAAAATTATTAACTTTTCAGAGAAATTAGCACCATGATTAGCATAAAGTGGCAGCGACTTAAATATGTTTGAACATATTTATCGCACATTGTCACTGGAATACATACATATAATCAAGGGTTTCAATAGTCTTACTTTAGACCATACATGTGAGTATACAATCAATATTATAAATTAAATGCTTATAATGGTCAAAACTGAATCCTTAATGCTATTTATTTCATTTATGTATTACTTCATATTATCAAATATAATTTGCTAATACGAAGTATTGTAACATGTATTATAATTTACGGAAACTTATTCAATTGGAGAGGATCTCCAATTAATTAGTTTTTATGAGCATATAAGTTTTGAATATAAATTTGAGATATATGAGACGCGTGTAATTGCTACAACGCCCGTTATCATTTAAACTAAAATAATAAACAATGTACAGCAAAAACGCGATTGGAAGAATAACTAAATTTTATTAAATATTATTTAACAATTCTAATACCAATTAGACCGAAAATAAATTAAGAGAAATCATGCTATTTTTTATCCAAGTAGATCTTAGCTCTTAAATAATTTCCGCGACAATTTATATACATATATGTTCGCGCTTCGCGTCTATTGGAATGGGTAGGAGCGCTCAGTCGGTTGTGTATCCGCGCATTTGCGAGTCGCTAGTTCTA